CTACCGTGACATCAAAGAAAGTCGTTCAAATCACGATCATGATCGCAGTTTCCTTTCTGTTGAAACCCGGCCTTGGCGTATAGAGTAGTAATTCTCCTATCTTCAAAGTCTGTAGAATGTTGACGTCGTGTAGGGCTAGTGGATGATCCGGCTTTCATGTCTGTGTGCCACGCTCCACGGCTGGGGTGGGGCGAGGTTAATATTTTTGTTGGGAGACCAGTGTGAACGTGACGTAGGGCTGGGTAGGGGGAGGACGGTCGGGAATCATGTTTAATTCCAGAAAACCACACTGTGTTTATGAAAGACCAAGGGATAGAATGGGTGAGAGGGACACGACAGTCTAGGAGGGGACCATTCATCGAATGAAGACCGGTAATTTCTTGCACACATTAGTTATATTGCTCATTCAAGTCCCTTGATGGAACTGGTGATGCGATAGGTTACTCTGAGGCATTGTTATGAGAAAATGGAGACTGAGGTCATGATCGTGATTTGAACGACTTTCTTTGATGTCACGGTAGCATAGAATACTGATTCGCTGAATTTGGAGAGGTTAAACACTGCTATTTGCTAGATTGTCTATTCGGCATCAGAGTAGGAGTAGTCGACGAGCGCTTGCTATTTGGCCTTGTTTGGTCTGCATATCCGAAGTAGGACAACCCACCTTTCGACCCATTTATCTCCACTGTCAAGGTGCGAATCAGTCAATGTGACCGGTTCACATAAATTCTCCTATTCTCAAGTTTAATGGCAACCGTCTAACGCGTTCTCCATGCTCATCTCCCATGTCGGTATTATCGTCACCATTCGAATGTCCTTCTATCCTTATAGATGGTACGTCTTTAGTATATATTTATTGTATCGACCTTGCTGATAATTTTGGAAATTTATTCTACGTCGACTTGGCAAAGTAGAAGTTGGAAATTGACTCCTTCAGCGGCTACAAGATCTATCCTTCTCGGGGACGTCTCTTTGTTCGTGGAGACTCAAAGGTGCATACTATAGGCATACATTTGTGTTACCTTGCTCACCTGAATACTCGCCTTTACTTTCCAGATCTTCCGCTTCGGGACCTCCAAGAATGAATCACTATTCCTTCAACGAAAGAACCCTCGCAAGATTGCATGGACCCAAGTTTACCGAC